TCACTCCACTCACTCACTACACTCACTCCACTCACTCCACTCACTCACTCCACTCACTCCACTCACTCACTCCACTCACTCCACTCACTCACTCCACTCACTCACTCCACTCACTCCACTCACTCACTCACTCCACTCACTCACTCCACTCACTCACTCCACTCACTCCACTCACTCCACTCACTCACTCCACTCACTCCACTCACTCACTCCACTCACTCACTCCACTCACTCACTCCACTCACTCCACTCACTCACTCCACTCACTCACTCCACTCACTCCACTCACTCCACTCTACTCCCCCCCCCCCCCCCCGCTGCTGGTCCGTCATGGTCCCCACCCGCTCCTGGTCCATCATGGCCCATGCACCTCCTACGTACATCATGCTCATTTTTATGGTAATTCCTTTGTCAACACGTTTTGCTTCCTCCCACACAGCTTAAAGGACGCGACCTGGGCTTGGCTGTTTTCACTCCAGCGCTGTCCTCATGACAGCACGGTCCCTTCACCTGATGAAGGCCACTTGTGTTGTGGCCGAAACGTCGTGAATTTTTTATTTTTGTTGTTTTTTTACGTGACTTTACCGAATAGAACCAAAGAGTAAAGAGTATATTGATAACATCATTCGCGGGTCATACAAAATCATCAACTTAAAAATTTGTCCGTTATATTTGGTCATACATTTAATTAACTCACCCCCAATGCGATGGGCTGAAACTGCTTCTCTTTGGCGAGGCATGTGATGATGTTAGCCGGTATCGATGATGTTAGCTGGTATTGATGATGGTAGTTGGTATCGATGATGTTAGCTGGTACTGATGATGTTAGCTGGTATCGATGATGTTAGCTGGTACTGATGATGTTAGCTGGTATCGATGATGTTAGCTGGTATTGATGATGTTAGCTGGTATTGATGATGTTAGCTGGTATTGATGATGTTAGCTGGTACTGATGATGTTAGCTGGTATCGATGATGTTAGCTGGTATTGATAATGTTAGCTGGTATTGATGATGTTAGCTGGTATCGATGATGTTAGCTGGTACTGATGATGTTAGCTGGTATCGATGATGTTAGCTGGTACTGATGATGTTAGCTGGTATCGATGATGTTAGCTGGTACTGATGATGTTAGCTGGTATCGATGATGTTAGCTGGTATTGATGATGTTAGCTGGTATTGATGATGTTAGCTGATGTTAGCTGGTATTGATGATGTTAGCTGGTATCGATGATGTTAGTTGGTATTGATGATGTTAGCTGGTATTGATGATGCTAGCTGGTATTGATGATGTTAGCTGGTATTGATGATGTTAGCTGGTATTGATGATGTTAGCTGGTATTGATGATGTTAGCTGGTATTGATGTTAGCTGGTATTGATGATGTTAGCTGGTATTGATGATGTTAGCTGGTATTGATGATGTTAGCTGGTATTGATGATGTTAGCTGGTATTGATGTTAGCTGGTATTGATGATGTTAGCTGATGTTAGCTGGTATTGATGATGTTAGCTGGTATCGATGATGTTAGCTGGTATTGATGATGTTAGCTGGTATTGGTGATGTTAGCTGGTATTGATGATGCTAGCTGGTATTGATGATGTTAGCTGGTATTGATGATGTTAGCTGGTATTGATGATGTTAGCTGGTATTGATGATGTTAGCTGGTATTGATGATGTTAGCTGGTACTGATGATGGTAGTTGGTATCGATGATGTTAGCTGGTATCGATGATGTTAGCTGGTATTGATGATGTTAGCTGGTGTTGATGATGGTAGTTGGTATCGATGATGTTAGCTGGTATTGATGATGCTAGCTGGTATTGATGATGCTAGCTGGTGTTGATGATGTTAGCTGATGTTAGCTGGTATTGATGTTAGCTGGTATTGATGATGTTAGCTGATGTTAGCTGGTATTGATGTTAGCTGGTATCGATGATGTTAGCTGATGTTAGCTGGTATTGATGTTAGCTGGTATCGATGATGTTAGCTGATGTTAGCTGGTATTGATGTTAGCTGGTATCGATGATGTTAGCTGATGTTAGCTGGTATCGATGATGTTTGCTGATGTTAGCTGGTATTGATGATGTTAGCTGGTATTGATGATGTTAGCTGATGTTAGCTGGTATTGATGATGTTAGCTGGTATCGATGATGTTAGCTGATGTTAGCTGGTATTGATGATGTTAGCTGGTATCGATGATGTTAGCTGATGTTAGCTGGTATTGATGTTAGCTGGTATCGATGATGTTAGCTGATGTTAGCTGGTATCGATGATGTTTGCTGATGTTAGCTGGTATTGATGATGTTAGCTGGTATCGATGTTGTTAGCTGATGTTAGCTGGTATCGATGATGTTAGCTGATGTTAGCTGGTATTGATGATGTTAGCTGGTATTGATGATGTTAGCTGGTATCGATGATGTTAGCTGATGTTAGCTGGTATTGATGATGTTAGCTGGTATTCATGATGTTAGCTGGTATCGATGATGTTAGCTGATGTTAGCTGGTATTGATGATGTTAGCTGGTATTGATGATGTTAGCTGGTATCGATGTTGTTAGCTGATGTTATCTGGTATAGATGATGTTAGCTGATGTTAGCTGGTATTGATGATGTTAGCTGGTATCGATGATGTTAGCTGATGTTAGCTGGTATCGATGATGTTAGCTGATGTTAGCTGGTATTGATGATGTTATCTGGTATCGATGATGTTAGCTGATGTTAGCTGGTATCGATGATGTTAGCTGATGTTTGCTGGTATTGATGATGTTAGCCGGTATCGATTATGTTAGCTGATGTTAGCTGGTATTGATGATGTTAGCTGGTATTGATGATGTTTGCTGGTATCGATGATGTTGTTGCTACTCGCAACTGCTTTTTCAGGTTTGCTCTCCCAGATTTGTTGAATTTCGAGTCCCGCCCGCGGTGGCCTTGGCAGGGCCAGAGACCAAATTATTTCGCGGGCCTCATACGGTCCACGGGCCGGACGTTCCCCACCCCTGGTCTATAATAAAGGTTTTAGTTTGGGTTAGATCGCGTAAATATATAAACGTGTCTTGATATCAACCACCACTCGACACAGCCCAATCAGTACGGGGTTTGTCACGTGAACATTTAGTTACTAGTTAAGCAATAACTGGCTGTGATGGCTACGTACGGTGGGGCGAAATAAGTTCTACATACATACAATGCATAGACTCACACAGAGACCCATAGACTCACACAGAGACACATAGACTCACACATAGACACATAGACTCACACAGAGACCCACAGACTCACACATAGACCATAGACTCACAGAGACCCATAGACTCACACATAGACACATAGACTCACACAGAGACCCTTAGACTCACACAGAGACCCATAGACTCACACAGAGACAAATAGACTCACACAGAGATCCGTAGACTCGCACAGAGACCCGTAGACTCACACAGAGACCCATAGACTCATACAGAGACACATAGACTCATACAGAGACCCATAGAGTCACACAGAGACCCATAGACTCACACAGAGACCCATAGACTCACACAGAAACACATAGACTCACACAGAGACCCATAGACTCACACATAGACCATAGACTCACAGAGACCCATAGACTCACACATAGACACATAGACTCACACAGAGACCCTTAGACTCACACAGAGACGCGTAGACTCACACAGAGACCCTTAGACTCACACAGAGACCCATAGACTCACACAGAGACCCATAGACTCACACAGAGACCCATAGACTCACACAGAGACCCATAGACTCACACAGAGACTCATAGACTCACACATAGACACATAGACTCACACAGAGACCCTTAGATTCACACAGAGACCCATAGACTCACACAGAGAACCATAGACTCACACAGAGACCCATAGACTCACACAGAGACCCATAGACTCACACAGAGACCCATAGACTAACACAGAGACCCATAGACTCACACAGAGACACATAGACTCACACAGAGACCCATAGACTCACACAGAGACCCATAGACTCACACAAAGACCCATAGACTCATCACACAGAGACCCATAGACTCACACAGAGACCCATAGACTCACACAGAGACCCATAGACTCACACATAGACCATAGACTCACAGAGACCCATAGACTCACACATAGACCCATAGACTCACACAGAGACCCATAGACTCACACAGAGACCCATAGACTCACACAGAGACACATAGACTCACACAGAGACCCTTAGACTCACACAGAGACCCATAGACTCACACAGAGACCCATAGACTCACACAGAGACCCATATACTCACACAGATAGCCTACGGGTCTCAACATCAATGGGTCTCTGTGTGATGAATGGGTCTCGATGTGATGAGTATTTGTGTCTTTATGTGAGTCTATGTGTTTCTGTGTGAGGTTATGCGTCTCTGTGTGAGTCTATTGGTCTCTACGTGAGTTTATGTGTCTCTGTGTAAATCTATGGGTCTCTGTGTGAGTCTATGTGTCTCTACATGAGTCTATGGGTCTCTGTGTCATGAGTCTATGGGTCTCTACGTGAGTCTGTGTTTCTGTGTGAGTCTGTGGATCTCTGTGTAATGCGTCTATGGGTATCTGTGTGGTGAGTCGAAAGGTCTCCTTGCGATGAGTCAATGGGTCTCCCTGTGGTGAGTCTATTTGACTGTGATGAGTCGATGTGTCTCTATGTGAGTCTATGTGTCTCTGATGAGTCTTTGTGTTTCTACTTGTTAAACTCTGTACGTTGTCTGTGTGTCTCTGTGATGAGTCTATGGGGTTCTCTGTGTGATGAGTCTATGGGTTTCTCTGTGTGATGAGTCTATGCGTCTCTGTGTGATAAGTCTACGTGTCTGTGTGAGTCTATGGCTCTGTGTGTGTGTCTATGGCTCTGTGTGGGATGAGTCTGTGTCTCTATGTTAGTACATATATATCTACGTGTGTCTATGGCTCTCTGCGTGATGGGTCTATGATGTGGTCTCTGCGCTTTGAACTCTGACATTCGCAGGTGAGCGGCTTTTTGGTGTGGGCGCTGATTTCGGACACCAACTTCTCAGTGAAGGGCCAGTACATCTGGGTCATGCTGGTGGCCGTGCTGTTCTGGATTCTCACCGCGCTGCTCTTCATCTTCGAGCTGACTGCCCTGCACTGCCGCATACCCCACTTCCGCGTCATTGTAAGAGTTAGGGTTGGGGTATAAACTCACCCACGTGCTCAGGCACACACGCGGGTACTCAACCAACTACTCACTCACTCAGCAACTCATTCATCCACTCACTCACTCACTCAGGCACCCACTCACCCAGTCACTCACCCACCCATTCACTCACGCGCTGACTCACCAATTCCCGCACTCAACCAATCACTCACTCACCCACTCATCCACTCAACCACTCACTTATCCACCCACTCACTCACTCAGGCACCCACAAACCCAGTCACTCACCCACCCATTCACTCACACACTGACTCACCCATTCCCGCACTCAACCAATCACTCACTCACCCACTCAACCACTCAACCACTTACTTATCCACCCACTCACTCACTCAGGCACCCAGTCACTCACCCACCCATTCACTCACGCGCTGACTCACCCATTCCCGCACTCAACCAATCACTCACTCACCCACTCAACCACTCACTTATCCACCCACTCACTTATCCACCCACTCACTCACTCAGGCACCCACTCACCCAGTCACTCACCCACCCATTCACTCACGCGCTGACTCACCAATTCCCGCACTCAACCAATCACTCACTCACCCACTCATCCACTCAACCACTCACTTATCCACCCACTCACTCACTCAGGCACCCACTCATCCACTCACCCAGTCACTCACCCACCCATTCACTCACGCACTGACTCACCCATTCCCGCACTCAACCAATCACTCACTCACCCACTCATCCACTCAACCACTCACTTATCCACCCACTCACTCACTCAGGCACCCACTCACTCACCTACTGACTTCCCACTCACTCAACCACTTACCCACCCACCCACCCACTTACTCACTGACTCACCCGCTCACCCATCCACTCGTTAACCAACGACCAGGTGAGGTCGTGCCTGATAGCAGGTGAGGTCGTGCCTGATATCGTGTGGCAATTAATGTCAGTAATCCAAATACAGTCTGCGATAACGCATGATGATGTATAATGCAGGCCTGAACAAAAACACAAAACGGTGTATCCATTTGGTGTTTGAGTATCTGAATACAACTGCTGTCTTATTGCAAGAAAGGGTAAAAAACCTGTTGTTGTTTTTCTTAATTTTGGATACTGGCAACAACAAAAAAATAATCCCAAAGATATATAACTTTAATCTAGATTTGAAATTAAATCACGACGTTTCGATTGCAACACAAGCAATCATCATATATGACTTCTCAACTCGAGCAATAACCGTTCTGATACTTGAATTATCTTAGTACGCTTCTTGGTTCTTTCGGTAAAGTCACGTAGAAGGGAAATAATAAAAGAATAAAAATAAAATAAAAATATGTTTCATATTTTTATTATTTTATTGTTTCCCTTCTGCGTGGTGACTTTTCCAGAAAGAACCAAGAATATGAATCCATGCAGTCACGAAAGCTTTAAATCGAAATGTCTTAGTGCTGTTCGCATTTTTGGCGTTCTCTGGTCTACTAACACTGGTGGTGAGACTAGGGCACAATGAAAGGCTGTTGTCTCAAAGACAATGCATAGATTATTATTGTTATCATCATCGCAGCGCGTTCGTTTGAATGGTTTTTTTTTGATACAAGCACGTGTGTGCTTAACAAAGACTTTGCAAAAAGGTACGGATTTAATGTGTTTGAACATCTTGAACATACAATGCATGTGCATTGTGCTTAACGCATGTACATAATGTACGTGCATAATATATGAATGTGCACAGTGTATGTACGTATTGCATGTACGTGATTTTACGTATCTATTGGATGTTTGAACCATCTTAGCAAAACTATTATTTTATTTCCAGAGAAGGGTAAAAAATGACTATTATTATTATTCATCAATTTTGATAGCACGGGCAAAAAAAGGTCGTCAGATATAAAACCGGCGTTATAGGAGATACGGACTGTCCTCGAAACGGTAGCAGCCATCAATCACAGCTGACAGATTAAAGCCTCACCCGGCTGAAGTTGCCCAGTTCGAGCACCACCAACACCAGGAGCGACGTCTACTTGAACCCGACCCTGTGCTTCCACCCCCCTCCCCACTCCTCCAACCTTACAAACAATTGTACTTGGTGCGATCAACGTCAGCACTAGGGGAGACAAAGGCCGGCCTAGGTGTGTGTGGTGCTGCCCGACCCAGTCGCCGGCCTTCGTAGGTGCTACCAGCTAACCGGCAGGGGTGGGCAAATGCTTTTTGACTCGCGGGCCACAATGGGTTCTAAAATTTGACGGAGGGGCCGGGCCAGGAACAGATGGACGGAGTGATTCGTGTGAACTTAATATAAATGACGTGTAAAAAATCAATACGTGAAAGGATGTTGGCCTTTAACAGGTAGCAAAAGCATTTGTTTGCAAGGCAATTTAACAAATTGCACGAACATGAACGATTCAAAAACATGTCGTGACTCCCCGTCAAAGTGCGCCATCTAATGGGGAAATGGGGGCATTACAGGAGAAAGGAAAATTTTAATTTAATGATAATAATAATTGTACAAGTTCGGCGGGCCGGATTAAAAAGCCCAACGGGCCGTATACGGCCCGGGGGCCGTACTTTGCCCACGTCTGCGCTAACGGCACTTGCCCCGAAAGTCTGTTACAGGATACACGGGAGATCCTTGCCTCTTTGTGTCCCTCTCCCCACAGGTGTTCTCCATCAACGCCATAGGCAGCGTCCTCTACCTGTCGGCCTTCATCGCGAACGCGGCGAGTGTGACAGTACCCCAGATCGTCAACAATTGGGCAGCGTCCGCGGTGAGAGAGAGAGAGACAGCAAGTGATAGAGAGAATGAGAGAGAGAGAGAGACAGCAAGTGATAGAGAGAGACAGCAAGTGATAGAGAGAATGAGAGAGAGAGAGAGACAGCAAGTGATAGAGAGACGCAGAGAGAGTGAGAGAGAGACAGCAAGTGATAACGAGACGCAGAGAGACAGCAAGTGATAGAGAGACGCAGAGAGAGAGAGACAGCAAGTGATAGAGAGACGCAGAGAGAGTGAGAGAGAGAGAGACAGCAAGTGATAGAGAGAATGAGAGAGAGAGAGAGAGACAGCAAGTGATAGAGAGACGCAGAGAGAGTGAGAGAGAGAGCAAGTGATAGAGAGACGCAGAGAGAGTGAGAGAGAGAGACAGCAAGTGATAGAGAGACGCAGAGAGAGACAGCAAGTGATAGAGAGACGCAGAGAGAGAGAGAGACAGCAAGTGATAGAGAGACGCAGAGAGAGAGACAGCAAGTGAGAGAGAGACGCAGAGAGAGAGAGAGAGAGACAGCAAGTGATAGAGAGACGCAGAGAGAGAGACAGCAAGTGATAGAGAGACGCAGAGAGAGAGAGAGACAGCAAGTGATAGAGAGACGCAGAGAGAGAGACAGCAAGTGAGAGAGAGAGAGACAGCAAGTGATAGAGAGACGCAGAGGGAGTGAGAGAGAGAGAGACAGCAAGTGATAGAGAGACGCAGAGAGAGTGAGAGAGAGAGAGACAGCAAGTGATAGAGAGACGCAGAGAGAGTGAGAGAGAGAGAGACAGCAAGTGATAGAGAGAATGAGAGAGAGTGAGAGAGAGACAGCAAGTGATAGAGAGACGCAGAGAGAGAGACAGCAAGTGAGAGAGAGAGAGACAGCAAGTGATAGAGAGACGCAGAGGGAGTGAGAGAGAGAGAGACAGCAAGTGATAGAGAGACGCAGAGAGAGTGAGAGAGAGAGAGACAGCAAGTGATAGAGAGAATGAGAGAGAGTGAGAGAGAGACAGCAAGTGATAGAGAGACGCAGAGAGAGAGACAGCAAGTGATAGAGAGAATGAGAGAGAGAGACAGCAAATGATAGAGAGACGCAGAGAGAGTGAGAGAGAGAGACGCAGAGAGAGAGAGAGACAGAGAGAGAGTTTAAAAATGCATTTTATTGCTACCAGCAGCAAAAAGCACTGGGTGCCAATTTCGAGGCAAATCACATGCACGACAGCATCACGTGTTGCACGTCACAAACGCTACCCGAGGCACGTGATACTGCACGTGACACGCACATCACAACACGACGACGTTACGCACGACACGCGCGACAAATGAGCTCGTTAAGAAGTAAAATCAAGAATGCTGTTTGCACTGGTGCAGAGGTCTTTACCGGCCCCCCTCCCACCAATCAAAGAACACGCGCGTGTCCCCGGGCGTTTCATAGTTTTCATTTATTTTGGGTATAGCCCTGTGAGCCATTCGGCTCTTGAATCGGGTGCAACCGCAACAAACAAAATAACTAAAACACGAACAAGAAAAAACATCTTAAAGTGACTACTACGTGTTGACTGTGCAAACAGAAAATCCAGGAAAAAAAAGCCAGCAAAAATATTCCTCAAATAGCACCGTACCCACCTCCAACGCTGTGTGCAAAAATCCCGGTGGGATGCAAGCCAAACAACAACAAGACAACTTAGATTAAGGCCATCAGTCTAACTCCGTACTACAATAAACAAAAACACGGCCAAACCAAAAAAAACTTTTAGAAATCACCAAAATAAAGGCCATGAATGCAATGTGTAACAGTGATCATAGGGACTGCGACCGAATTTTTTTTAAACAATAAACTACGTAAATAACATGTAACACCGAACCCTATAGAGCCACAGCTGGCTGCATGAGTCACTCCACAAACAACAGGAGCATCATGGCATGCGTGCTCCACCTGGAGCCGTGCCTTGAGCAGGCTCCTCAACATTGCCACCACAAAGCATCCGTCAGTGTCGCCTTGCAGCATTTTTTTTTTCTCCAGGTCTTGTAAACTGCCGTCTTTGCTTGGGCACAGACGAAAGTTTGCTCATTTGCCAGGTATAAGGGGGATTCAGCTGAGCCACACGGCCGAGGACACCATCCAGTGCGCTAACGTCCACTGAAGATTACTGCGGCATTTGGCTATGGGAGGCTCGTACACCTGCTGCCATTGGGGGAGGAGGGCCTCAATTAGGGGAGAGAAGTGAGCTCTCCATTTTGTGTCTGCAGCACGTGGAGAGAACTTTGTTCGTGGCGCTCTTCAGGGACACGTCCCTGCAGCCTCTCACTTTCCCCATCTCTCTCTCTCCCCGTCACTCTCGCTCTCTCTCTCTCTCCGTGTCTCTCCCCGTGTTTCTCACTTCCCTTGCCCATCCCTCTCCCTCTGCTCGTGTTCTCCGCCCCCTCTCCCTCTCTCCGTGTGTGTGTCTCTCTCCCCATATCACACTCTCTATCTCTCTCCGTGTGTGTCTCTCTCCCCATGTCACACTCTCTCCCTCTCCCCGTGTGTCTCTCTCTCCCCCCATGTCACACTTTCTATCTATCTCCGTATGTGTCTCTCTCCCTATGTCACACTCTCTATCTCTCTCCGTGTGTCTCTCTCCCCATGTCACACTCTCTCCCTCTCACCGTGTGTGTCTCTCTCCACATGTCACACTCTCTCCCTCTCTCCGTGTGTCTCTCTCCCCCCATGTCACACTCTCTCCGTATGTGTCTCTCTCCCCATGTCACACTCTCTCACCCCATGTCACACTCTCTCCCTCTCTCCGCGTGTCTCTCTCTCCCCCCATGTCACACTTTCTATCTATCTCCGTATGTGTCTCTCTCCCCATGTCACACTCTCTATCTCTGTCCGTGTGTGTCTCTCCCCCCATGTCACACTCTCTCCTCCCATGTCACACTCTCTATCTCTCTGCATGCTGGGAAGATGGCGTGTCTATCCGTGCTCCAAGCGTTTCCATTACCTGCTAGTGAGGGCCTAGTTTTGCATATGCATCCTAGCTCCGCCTGAGAGAGTTGTTTGTACTCCCCGGCGAACTCTTTCACTCTCCGAGCTCCATCAAGTGCTCTTCATCTCTCCTCCAGCTCTGTGAGTGCCTCCAACAACACAGGGCCATGCTGTCTCCCATGGCTTCACCCCCGTCGCCTCGCGCAAGCGCAGGGTGAAGTCCGGCCGCCTGCGGAGGAGGCCACGTGGCCCCTAACCCGATCACGAGCCCTGCCCAAAGGTGGCAGAGCAGGACGAGCAACGCCCCTCCAGCGAGCGCCATCCTAGAGGGCACTGCGGGGGGGGGGGGTGAATATGAAGATATGCTCGATGGCGACCTGCCTGAGGACAGCACGGTGGGAAAAGTGCCACCGCCACCGCCACCCCCACCACCACCACCGCCGCCGCCGCACGCCGCCTCAGCATCCTCTGGGCAAGAGGGACCACCGGCCAGTGCGGCGCCTAATGACGGAAGGCTGCAGGAAGGCGACGAAGGCCGGCTCAGCCAAAGGGAGTGCAACAGAACCTCCACTACCAGAGGGCAGCCACCCTGCTCCCGATGGGGGCCCTGTCATCACCAACGGCAAAAGAGGGTTCTGTCGAGTTGCAGTTTGACGACCTGGGGGACTCTGACGACGAGGTGTCGCCGGAGTCCGAAGGAGAGGACGACGTGAGTGAGGTCAGCTACTCACAAGTCAACAGCGAGTGCGATTACTCACCTGGGGACATCCACAGCTTCCTAGTGCAAACTTTCAGGAAGCGTAAAGTCAGGGTCGGGGCCGTTTTCCCTGACCTCACCGCTTTCCTCAAAGCATCCCAACAAATTTACCGCAATTGCGACAGGTTTGGTTTCATGACACAGGGATGCTACCACCTAAAAGCGTTTATGCTCAGAAGTAACCCGGCCCCCCGCAGCTACTGTTACCACTACCACCACCACCACCACCACACAACAACATGATGGCTTCAGCTGTGATGGTTGCTAGTCTGAACTGTAACATCGCTCGCAGCGACAAGGGGTGGGACCAGATCCGCCGCTTTGTTGGGGAACACAAATCAGATGTGACTCTCCTCCAGGAAACTCACTCTGGAGGCTCAACGCCAGCCTTTATCTAGGCGGACGAGGTCTTCTTCAGCCACGCCGCCGAGGACAACCTCGCCGGCGTGGCGATTGTGCTCAGTTCGCGGTTTGCACCAGAGAACGTCTCCTTCAAAGGAATAGTCAAAGGTCACTTTGACGATTTCTTCTTCTTCTTCGTCCTGAATAACTCCAGCCTCAGGAGCTTTAACGTGTCCGCGCCGAGCAGGGCCTCCGAGAGGAAGCTCTTCTTTGGTGCACTGCGGGACGCGCTTGCGACAGACGACGTGGACGCCGTGCTCACCGTCTTGGCGGGAGACTTCAACTGCACCCTCGACCCGGCTCTCGACCGCAACATCGCCGAACCTCACCCTGAATCCGCACGCCCGCTAGCCAACCTCGTGCAAAGACTGGATCTGCGTGACGTGTGGCGACTACCGCATCCAGCCCAGCGGCAGTACCCTTGGTGCTGCTGAGACTCCAAAGGCAGGATAAGCCTTGCCAAGCTCGACCGACTGTACGTCAACGCCAGCAGCGTTAACCTGCTCGGGGAGAGTAAAATCGTTCACTCTGGGTTTTCCGATCACCACCTGGTCTCCGTGCTGCTGCAAATCTTCAGAGCCGAGCGGCACAGCTCCTACTGGAGACTCAACATACATCTGCTTGACGACACCGACTTCAGGGAAACCTTCAAAGCCTTTTGGGTTCAGTGGCTGCCTGGCAAAGGCAGCTTTAGCTCCCACCAGCTATGGTGGGACAACACAAAGGCACAGGTCAGGGCTCTCTGCCAGTAATTCATGAGCCAGCACGCCACCGCCAAGGAGGAGGTGGCACAACAACTGCAGGCGGAGCTGAGCTCATCCCACGGCACACAGCAGGGTGAGACGCTACTGGAGAAGCAGCGGCCTTTCGTGCAGCACCTGTCGCAGGTGGACTCTC